TGTTTTTAAGTTGGCTACAGTTGATAAGGTAGTTGTAGGGGGAGGTACACTTAATGTTTTAGACTTGGTCTTTGTACTGGAGATAGTTTTAGTTGCCTTTGTGGGCTGTGAGGTCTGTTCTCCATCTTCCCATTCAAGCCATTGACTCTTTTTTGACTTTTTGTCAGATTTATTGGAAATTATTCCTAGGGTGACAGTTGGAGTGGTTGATCCTGTGATGTTTCTTGTAGTTGTAGTGTTAGTGGTTGCACCTTTGGGAGTAGTAATTGCTTTCATATTGTTTGTATTATTAGCTGACATTGCATTGGTAGTAGATGGTTGCACTGTTGACGTGACAGTGGCTTCTGGGTTTTCTATAAGCAGCTCTGGAATAAACAGGCTTTCTGTGTGTTCTATATTTATTTCTGGTGTGGTGGAGTTGGGGGATAATGTGGTGGTGACAGGCTCATTTTGTAATGCCCAGCTACAGCGAACCATCAAAGATTTGGAGCGGATAGCTGGAAGAAAGATGGCAATTTTTTATATTATCTTTACTCACTGAAAAATAAATCTTTGTGGTGGCCTTATTGTAAGATGACAGAAAAACCAAATAATTGTGGTGATTAAAATATGTTGGTCTTCTACCATTTTCATTAACCATCAAAAAGCATTGTATGACAATTAAAAAAAAGTAATAATGATAATAATTATAGTACAACAAGTACCTTCGTAGCTAATCCAGAATCCTTTTAAACTCTCTTCCTTATCTGTATGAAACACTAATTGGATTGTTTCTCCTGTGAATGTTCTTTTATTGGGTATGTACCCACAAAGTCTCCTTCTTCTGTCTCCTATGATAAACTCAAGCCAATCGCTACAAGGGTAGCTGTACTTTACCAGGAAAAACACGGTTTCCACTTTGACCATGCCACCAGGGGGAGCTGTGAAGGAGCATGTGCAGTTCTGATTTGGTGGATATATGTTGTTTGGGAACAAGGGGCTGGTGATGTAACCACTGCTGCTTTCAAATTTGTCTTCTATGCAGATGTTCATTAGGTCGACAGCTGAAAAATGCGGATCTCTGATTAAATGTTAATGCTAACCATTTAGAGAAGATAAAGTGTTATATGTGTATCATTGTTTCAGGCAAAATAGCATGACTCTAATTTAAGAAAATAATTGTAAAAGTAGTGTTTTCCGTATTTTGTATGGTATGTTGCTTGTTGGAATGTTTGGGAAAGTTGGAATATTTTCACTGTTAAATGGCAATATATTCAGATAAGAACATGCATTAATAAATCTATTATTTGGGAGATAACACCTGCAGGTTCATTTAGTGCTTCATGATACAGGGAGTTTAGTGTTAAAATCAAGGTCTCTTGATATAGGGAGTTTAATGTTAAAATCAAGATCTTTTGATACAGGGAGTTTAGTGTTAAAATCTTGACTTTGTGCTGCTATCTATATATAAAAGGCATGACAGCTCTGGGTTAATCATTCATACATTGCCAACTCTTCTAGACTATTTACCCTGTGTGTCTCTCATGTCCCATGCTTTCCTGATTAACCTTCTTTTGCTATAACTTGTATGTAGCAAAGAGGATGTGGGTGCCAAGTTGAGTCCCAAGGAAAATGCCTGGGCCAGTTTGAGTCAATTATAATCAATTGAGACTTATGCTTTACCACAACCAATGGATACAGGTCAAGTTATTAGTCTAACTGCTATAAGTTGTATTTTCTTTTTTTGTTAAATAATATAATGTTGAAATCATTTTTTGAACAGCAGATATGGAACAGGTTGTTCATTGTAAACAAATACGTTAAATAGTAAAGGTAATAATTATTTGAATTTTTTTCTTACCTGGTATACATTCATATTCCACCTGCACATAGTTGCTGTACACATTCCAGCACTTAATTCCTGTGTCACTGATATATTCACTCTCAACCTGAACAAAATCACACTTGCGTTTGCCCCCACATCTCCAGTTGATCTTCCCATAGGGTTTAATACAGTCTCCTTCGCTATAACTGCAATGGCCCTGTGGGTTCAGTCCCAGAATTTCTGACTTGATTTGAATCATGAAGCCATAGTTGCACTCAATGTTGATGAATTGTCCATAACAGCCAAAAATGGTGAATTTTGATGATTCCTTACTGTTGTCTGCAGTAATTGAACAAGCAAGTATGATAAGAAACCATAGCAGGAAATATACAGAAACATATTTATTTTGGTTTTGTAGAACGTTCCTTAAAGAGAAGTTTTCTGTACACATCATGGCTGTGTCACTTCAAGTTAATGAATTTTTACCTGGATGGTAATTGTAGTTTAACACTTTGTTGTGGATTTTACACTGTCTTGCCAATTACTTATTTTCGTACCCCATGCTTCATCCATTTACCTTATGAAGGTAATACAATTTAATGACAGATTTTGAAAATATTCATGTTTTTTCCTGCTGCAATCATGGTATTATAATATAAAATTTGAGCCCATCACTATATCATAGCAACCTGAAATAATAAAAGAGAAAAAACTTTGAATGGCTTTTGAATGTCTTTACTTTGCAATTTGAGGAGATTGACAGTAAATCAGATAAGTAACATTAAAGGCCTGCTCATTTTCAATTATTCTAATTGTCACTAGACACTGAAACACTAGTTATGAGAGGATCTATGGCTGATATAATAAATAGCATAGAAAATTTTCATAATGGTCAAGTTGCTGGAATCGGCATACTAAATATCTATCTGAATCTATACATACTTACTTTTGAAGAATAAATCCACATTCACAACAGATCCATGTCTGCTATTTGCTTTAGTAAACAGAGCCTGTTAATTCTGTTTTCTAAATTGAGGATATTTCCATTGAAAATTTGCAAAACAATTATGGATCTAGTGTTATCTCTTGTCTTGACAAATTCCAAAAGTTAACCACACCCGTTCTGTTACAATATGGTAGCACCTGGTACACATAATAGATTTTATTGTCAAAGCAATCTGTTGCCACTTGTGCTACTTTTTTTCCATATAAATATCACAGAACATTCCAGTAGAAAAGATTTGAAGCATTAGCATATTTTACTGGCACAAAGATCTGACTTGATGATAGTTAAAATTTGCCTATAAGGCCAGAGAACATTGATGTATTGGTTAACTAGTGATTAAAAAAAAAACAAATGGAAAAAAGATAATTGTTATTATGCCCTGTCTCTCAGAATGATATCAAGGAGGTTGTAATGATATTAACCACACCCTGTAGCTTTAATAAATCAGAAATAAGTCGTCTTTAAATGCAAGTACCATCTGAGATTGTGTTTTTTTTTTTAATGAAGCAATTATTTTTTAGGTATGAAATCTGGGTATTGATTATTCTATTGAATGTACTGACAGTTACACACACTGGTCAGCATGTCATGTGTTCTAGCAATGTAACATATGTTTGGGTGGGGAAAGCTTTACCATGTGTTTCAATGACTTGCAACAGTCCGGACATGGCAGGGGGTTTATATATGTTTAGATGAGTTTAGAAAAAGAAAAGAAAATAATATGCTTGAAAAAGAAAAAAAAAATCATACTCATGTGTAACACTCTGAATTTAGTATGTTTTATGACATCATGATACCTGTCCATATAATTTGATATTATAATTTGATCAAAAAGAAAAAAGCAACAAATATGATTAAAAAAAGAATAATAATAGAAATAGTGTGCACTGAGACAGTCACTATGAGACTGCAGCATTGCACCATAACTGACTTAACATCTGTAAATGGTTACTTTTTCTTGGCTTTTAGGTAATAAATGTGAACTAAGGAGACTTTGCCTCTAGCATCTTACTTTATAATGCTTATAATAAATTTATCTTAGCCATTCCCTAAATAAACTATGAAAATGGTGTTCAAAATCTAGATATTTTATCTCAAGAAATTCTAAGTTTGTACATAGTGTTATGATGGAAGCAAATTTTATGGGTTTAAAAATGTCTCATTATGACAATGGATTTTCTTCATGAAAAGTGCTTTCTTGTCATTAAGTTAAGATGCATTATGAAATATGTTAATATGTGAGAGATGACGTACCAGCAAGTTCAGGGAGATTTGACAAAGCTCAGCAAAATGCCCTTGATTGTTGAAAACAGACATTTGTCATTCCACAAAAAAAGTCACATCGGTGAGCACACATTTTGTTTATTATTTGCATAACAATTGTAAATCACTTTTTAATATCTGATTTCTTGCGACAATGGAGAGTACTATAGTTTGAAACATAAAAATAATTGGTAAAGTCAGAATTGTGCAAATATTTCACAAAATGTAAGCATCACTCTAGTGACTGAAAGAGTCATTTTTTTTTGGATAGTATGTAAGCCATCAGTAGTCAGCAGAAGTCCATGTGATGAGACCCCAATATCTCCTTCATTAGATTTTTTATAGCCCAATAAGCTTGTTAACTTTTGTCTGAAATTATTTCAACCGCACATTAGATAATTTTTAAAAATTTATGGAAATATGTTTTAAAGTTAAAACATAGAAATACTGAGAGCAAGAAATGTATCAGCAACTTTTAAGAAAAATGAAAAACAATAGAAAACAAAAACTAAGCGATCCAGTAGTTTACAAGCGTGGCATCAGAAAGCCAGTGTCTGCAAGAAGATAAAGCAGTTCATATTTTTGGGCCATAGAATAGGGATGTTAAGCAGTAATGCCAAATCACATGCATAATTTTTGTAAACTGAACAGAGGCTTATTAGGGTGTTGGATAACTTTCTTTGGTGTAGTATACTTGAAGTAAGACCAGTCTAACTGTGGAGTAAATTAACATTCTTTTATTTCATTGATTATCAAGGTCATGAAATGATACAATCACCATTATAACTGAAACAATAGTCATAAGTATTAATGTATTGCATTACAAAATAATAAGCAGTTATTTGAAACAATGGACAAAAAGACATTATTGAAACAGAGACACATTAATAAATAAAAAGAAATTGGATTTTTTGTCATTTTATTATTATTTGCTGTATGGTTCTAAATAAGTTACACACATACACATTTGATTGTTATTGCACAGTGATTTCATTAGTATTTGAAATATGGAAACCCACTGTATAAATATAAACTCTCTAACTCAGGAATATGAATTCCAAACAGACATTTTTTTTTTACAACTTCAGATTGTTTTCTATGAAAATTAAAATGATTGAAAACTTCTTTTTATTACAGTTATTTATTTGATTAAATGACATTTTATTGAGTTATCTCTTCAGTTAATTGCTTAGTTTATTTATCATTACTGCTGATGTTGCTGCTGATGATATTTTCTTTAAAATGATGCTCTAATATATAGTTTATCCACTGTTTCACCAACCAGAACACAGTATTATAGATAAGTATATTATTGAGACTGCTTAACTCAATGTAATATGAATTAGTTAGAAGCTTCTCTATCCAGCTCATCACTGTCCATCTCATTTTGACTGTCACTGTCATGGCTATTGTCACTGTAGCTGTTACTGTTACTGTCATCAAGAAACCCATCATTAATTCCACAAACATTCCCAAAGAATGTTTCGTGCATGTTGTCTTCATCAAGTTCCTCATCTGTACTCGTTGTAACAATGTCCAGTGGAACTGGCGCATTGGATAGGCCAGAGTAGAAGACCTCCATTTGTTCAACCAAAGATGGTGAGCGACTGTGTCTTGGACTCCTGGGTGCCGTGAGAATCTTGTTTTTGTCTTCTTTAACAAACTCACCATCTTCACAGAGTTTTCTCGGAGCCATTGGGCTGCTCCCTGCGTAAGAGTTTATTTCACTGCGTGTCTCAGAATATTCCCAAGATGAGGCTGATGAAACAGATGAACAGTCTTCTCTGTTGTTGTGGTACTCCTCCTCTTCCTCCTCTTGCTGTTTTAGCACCTCATCTAGATCTATGATCTCCTCGGGCACAGGACTGTACCTCTGATTCGCTGCCGCCATCTTGACAGGAACTGGAGGAATGAAGAAATCCTCACTAAGAGTTCTCTCATCTTTAGTTGCCTGATTGTTGTTCACAGCACCAGTGCTTTGAAAGTTCCATGGTACTCCGCTGAATGTCAGGGGTTTCTTGCCAAGTTTGTTTGGCTTTGCATATATTGCACCTGTACTCCTTGTTGTTGAAATATTGCCAGTATTTTTGTCCTCCATGGGCGAGGCATAGACTAGATTTGGGTTATGTGAGGGATTACAGTTTTGCATGGCTCGGAGCGTAGGATTGTCGTGCCACAGAGTGCTTGGGCTATAGTTGGGGTTTTCAAAACTAACTTGGACCGGTTGGTCACTTTTTGGAGGGTCATAAGCCCAGATAATGTCTTTATGGAATTGTTCATCAATCTGATGTCCTTCTTTCCTCTTTCTGCAAAACAAAATATAAACAGGTGAATAGCTATTTAATACCTGACATAAAAAATACATTAAGGACAAAGCTCAGTCTGATTTAACAATAAGTGATTGAATCATTAAGATGTATCTACTTTGAGATACTATCTTCCTATTATGCAGGTTCAGACATTTTGTGCTAGAGGCGGATTTCTGGCTTTTTAGAAGCCAAAAAGATCTTCCTTGAGATTGTGCAAATCCAATGATGTCTGCATGCTTGTGTCTGTGTGCTCATTTTATTTATTAACTTATTTATAGCAACTGGTGGGGGGGGGGGAGGAGGGAAATGTTCGCTCTTTCCTAGGCTCCTGTTTACGTCCCTGCTCTGCTCACCGAATTACAGTGTAAAGAAGGGAATTTTTACAGGAAAATCTGATGTTTGATTTAAATATGAATTAACTTTCTGAGATGATATTAAACTGTTCTAAGTATCATACATACTTGAACCATAAGTATATGATCATGGCTATCAACATGGCGAATACTATCAAGCCCACAACTGTGCTGGTGACTATTGCACCTGAAATATATACATGTATATAATTGATTTACACATAGACATAGACATAGCAGATGAGAAAATGCTTCATTATTTAAACTGTAACTTAAAAAGAGGCAGAATTAGTGCACCAATCTTGAAAATGAATTTCATAATAATAGTGAGAAGAACATTGTCACTAAGTTACTCTCAAGGCTAATATCTTTAAATTCCATCAGTAATTTTATATTTAATTAAATTTACATGCAAAGATATAGCAGTGTCACTTATTACATGTTCATTAATCAGTAGTCTGAGACTGGAACATTTTGAAAAATATAATCTCTACCATTTCAGTTCAGTTACACTTGTTGAAAAGATGTAGAAAATGTTTTAGATTAAGTGGGGAATTAGTTTTTTTTCTCGTAAATCTTCCAATTTTCTTTGCTGATAGATGGCCTGTGTTTGTATCCAAAAGGAGATTTACACTTTAAAAATGATAATATAAATATTTTGCACTTGGACAGAAATATGTACTAGGTGAATGCAGTATATATTATTTTTTTTAATCATTTTCAAATGCAGAATTTTTTCTTTTGTAACCTAAAATGATTCAGAATAGATAAATGAAGCATTGTGTGTATCACATTTATACAATTGTTGAACTTTGAAATTAATTTTATATTAGAAGGTGTGGATTATATTTCTGCTCGGGGCATCATTATTATTATTATAATAATATGATGATGATAATCATCATCATCATTATAAATGATCATAAGCATAAGGGCAGTGCATTAAAAACTATAGCTACTTAAGATACTTGTGGTACATTAAATAGCTTCATGCTTTTGATGGATTTTTGCTGACCTACCTGTATCTGCCTAAAATCATCACGGAGATATGAAAATTGACATTTTTTTCAAGCAGATTTTTATTTTATTATTTTTTTCTCAGGAAAAATGTAAATTTGTTGTCATTTTTCAAGCAAGAATGAATTTGGCTGTTGCTTATATTTTGTGTGATGGAATTTGCACAGTGCTCTGCTATGAACTCTTGGTGTTGATGCCAGAAGTTCAGGTAGATGCAAGTTTTTACTTTGATATCCACACACCTGTTGACCTTTGAGCTAGCCATCATACCAGGCTCTTTTTTGGTATCTGTGGTAGGTGAATGTGTGGAGTTTGCTTTGACCTTGGGAAAACTTTGTCTTGGCTGCCATTTTATTAAATGACCTCTTTTTCCCACAGAGCCTCTCAGGCCAGATAAATGACCCGTGGCATGCAAAAAATGACATTATGAAAATGCAAAGCTGCTTGTGGGAGAAAAGGATATCATACTGGTGCATTTATGCATTCATCGCATATGCTGGGGTCTTAAGGTTATGTAATAGCCTATTTATGTATAAATGATTATGTCATAAATTCAGATGGGATGCCTTGTCCACTTCAATATATATCATTGGGCGCATTCACAGTGAATCTATCACAGTATTCATACTAGCTAGTGTGCACCAACTCCACATGGACTCTCACTGAATGCAATCAGATAAACAGATTGGCACGCCTTCTACTGGCTTAATTGGAGTAGAATACAGAAAAGCCAGTGATTATACGAGTATGTTGGAAATAAGGAGGCGTGATGCATGATAATTTGGATAATATGTATTATTGAAAATTTAATATCAATTTTTAGCACATGAAGTTAATGTAAAAAAAAAACTTGCAATAACTAGCTTGATGCAAATAATTTTTTCCAAGTTAATTCATTAGTGATTTAATAAAAGTGGCATTAATTGACCAAATAATGCATAATCATTGCTCTTTGTTTGTTTGCCTTTTTTTATGGTTGTGGAATTTATTTCTTGTGGCAATATAGGATGGGCGAGACTTAAAGAATAAGGTCAGTGTCCCTAAAAGTGTCTTAAATGCTACCAAGTTGTCTACAATCTTCCCTAAGACAAGATTTAATAATTTTTTAAAACAGAATCATGGAATGTATTTGTAAAATTTTTCCTCTTGCTCATTTTTAAGAAGTGTTTTGTAGGTTATTTATCAGTTTTGAAAATGTGATTAAGTAAGAAGAAGAGAGCTAAGTAGATAAACATGATAAATAAAACCTGCTTATAGAAAAAATATCTATAAAGAAAACAAATAAAAGAAAAATCAGCAGAAGTCAAAACACACCTGTCATGTTCTGTGCTGGGCTTCCAGTGGGCTCAGGGTCGGCCCCAACCTCTGCCTCCATCCCAACTGCTGCTGCCGCTCTCCCAGACGTCTTCCTTGTATAGTGTTCCAAACCATGAACTGGGACACCTTCCAAGGTGAGGTCCCCAAGTGCTGTGCTGTTATGCCTTTCTCTTGTGCTTTTTATCCCTAACAATGTGTCATATACTGCTACTGTTCTTGCATTGCTGTTACTGTGTGGTATATCAAATGCTGGCTGTGTTTGGTTGCTCAGCAGGAGTCTCCTCCACTCTTGGTACCCTACCCTCTCCTTAGCGTGTCCATCAGTCAGAGGAAATGCTGCAGTGAAACAATTCAAAGTGACTGTTACATATATACATATATTTATTTGGTTATGCCAGTTTGGAAGGTACCCTAACTGGACCTTTCTTCATTGCTAAGTGGAAGCTCTGAAATTTTGCACTCCAACCTTGATGACTTATTGCATGCTGGTTTTGTTAGACAACATTGTAAAGCAATTTGCCTGTATATCTAGTCAATTATCATATCTGAATAGAATGGTATACATAATAAACCATAAGGATTTTTTCAGCTATTTCAACAACATAGGGGTTATCAATAATTTATTAATAATAATGATTTTATAATTGATATTCAAAACCTTAATTTTCATGGAATATGGATGCATTCACATCTGTGCAACTTAGTCCACTTGCTTTGCTTTATATTATAAGAATTAAAAATATATAAAGGTATGAAAAAACACTAGGTAATTTGTTAATGAAATTGATTAACAGACAACAAATCTATGGAATTTCTGGCTGCCTAAATGTCAGAGGATTTACGACAGGCAGGTTTGCATGACCAGAGGTATTGACTGTGATCCTTCTTTGCCATTAACCCCAAAGATGTCTCCCGTCTTATGCCAGCAGCAGGGAAAGACATTGCTAACAGTCTGCATAATTAACAAAGAATGTATTTGCTCCTATGAGATATTTATTTTGGCTAACCAGGAGTAATATGAATGTTTTTCAATCTCTCATAGATGGACTTTTTCTTGGTTTGGCCCACAGGTGAATATGCCTTGAGGAGCCATTTAGCGTGATGTATATTGTGGTAGACTAAGTGTGGTATTTCATAACTTGGGGCAAATAACGTGACAGATTAGTTGACCCTAGAATAGAGTAAGATGACAAAAAAGAAAAGAAATAAATAAATAAAAGTAGATGGTGTGATCTGTTTTTTTGCTTAGAGGAAAATGTTTTCATTGCATGGGGGAGCTTTTGGGTAAGGTTGTTTCCACAAGTTATGCATGACATTTTGAGGTCTTGATGTACATTCACAATCTCCCACAGGGGCATTGGCATATGGCTTTAGTAATTAAGACAAAAAAATATATATATATTAGAAGAAGCAATGGCAACTGTCAGGGCACTAGGTGCCCTTTATCTGGCATACACCCTGTACCATTTGGAGTGTTGAAAATGCACAACTGCAAACATAAATGTTGAACATGGGCAGCACTATTTTGCATAGTTAATAGTGATGCAGCAGATGTATGTCAGACAATGGCACAGAAGAGAGTGACTTGCCCGTTGATCAAAATATTGTGAAGTAGTTTCATTGGATCTCAGTTTGGATAGTTGAAAAGTTTTCATTTATGATAGATAGTAAATCTGTCATAAATGAAAACTTTTCAACATATGGGAATATTGGAGAACAATCATTTTAACCGTTGATTAAAAAATATTTATTTATCAGTCTACTTTTTATTTACACATATGATGTATAGAAATGATATGTTAGAGAAAATTGATTATATTTTCAATTTTTTCTTTTTTTTAAAAGAACTTACCTTCATAATATAGCCAGAACCCCTTTGAATTCCCTATCTCATGTTTGTCACTATGGAATGTCACTGAAATCTGATTATTCTCACTGAAGAAAGCAACTCCACGTCTTTTTCCACGGCAAAGTTTCTCTGTTTTATGAAGACTGTCACTTATCACAACATGATCGATACAAATGATCCTCGAGTCGGTCTTCAAGTATGCCAAATAAACATCCAGTAGGTAAACCCTGATCTTCTGGTGTGGTTTCACCTCTATACTTATACTGCATGACGTCAGCAATGGGTACTTGTCTGGGTAGTTTGGGCTGGTTAAGTAACCATTTTGCTCTGTGATTTTGTTTTCTTGGCAGACGTTATTATGGTAATTATCTGTAAAAATAATATATTTTTTCTGTTAATGTTACCAGTTCTGCAGCTGTTGATACATTGAAAAATTAAGTATAAAACCACCCTAGTGCATGAAAATTTTTCTGTCACTTTTATTGATTATGCCAAGTCTACACCACCAAATATATGAGTGGTGCCTGTTGTCCACCTTAGTTCCACCCCATAGCTTGTGCTGGGTTACCCCTGTATATGCCACAACATGAAACAGAATTATTATGCACAGCAAATAATTTTTCTCGAAATTCAAGATATGTGGGAAAAATAATGAATATTCGAAATTTAATATTTCCTAGATAACATGACTCAAAATGATTGGTCTATGTTATACCTGGGATGCATTCATACATGAATTGAAAATCATCGTTCAAAATGATTGATCAATGTTATACCTGGGATACATTCATATGTGATTTGAAAATCATCGTTCTAAATGATTGATCTATGTTATACCTGGGATGCATTCATACATGAATTGAAAATCATTGTTCAAAATGATTGGTCTATGTTATACCTGGGATGCATTCATACGTGATTTGAAAGTCATTGCTGTATGCACAGTCTGAGGATAAGAACACCCAGGGGGCTGTGAAAGCACACTGTTGCTGTCCGACACAGGGGGGGTTGTGGGTCTCTTCCTGTATACAGTAGATACTGTGATACCCCCCAGGACAGTGCACTGACTGCCTGTAGAATGCTGTGATCACCCTGATCATGCTGCCAGGCTTGCACTCGATGATCATGTCTTCTCCATAGCACTGGCTCATGCTACTGGCACTGGAGGAAACTGGAAACAATTTTGAAAAAAAAAAAAAAAAAAACGGAAAGAAAAAAAGGAAAAGAAAGGCCGCATTCAGAACAGTGGACTAACTAGTCTGAGGGTCAAATATGGCCGACCCACTTGAATACTTCCCCACCGGGAATCTGTTCAAGGTCTATTAGCGGATTATTTGACCCACAGACTAGCTAGTCCACTATTCTGAATGTGACCAAAGACTACAGTGTGACATTCTTTACTCAATTCATTTTATAGGTTTATCTAATTAATCCTCTCCCCTATTAAGTGTTCAGTGGACAAAGTCAGTAAGGCACAAAGATGAGGCTTTGTATTTTTAAGAATGGGTGGGCCTAGATACATTTTGTAGAATAATATTGTATAGTCAGGAAACAAAAAGCCATCTACATACATGTGCATCACATTTGTCAGTTACAACAAGGAAAAATGCCTCTCAAACTTCTCATGGGTATGAATTACAAGGAAGAATCAGACTTAGAAAAAGATGAAGATGTAAAAACATGATATATCTTTGTTTTATCACTATAACAAACTAAAGCTAGCAGAGTAGTAACCAAAAAATAATACAGTGGCTGGGTCTCTGTTAATGGCTGCCAACTCATTGAGAAAAACCTTGCCAACAGAAAAATGATGGATTGTAATCCATTTAGTTATCTAATAAAGCAGTATTGCAATGTGAAGTACAAGAAAAATGATGAGTGGCATATAAAGGTGAGGGAGTTCAATCTATACATGACAAGGAATGCTTACAATATAATTTTCATCATAAACATTTTTGTCATATTTAGATTGAACATCTTCATGACAAAGAATGTTTATGAATCATAGCTTAGGATGGCCCATTGCCTCTTACTGTCAAAGGTTTTGACTCTTTAGTCAAGTTTAGCAGTAAATGGAAATCATTTGGCCCAAATACTTGTGACTTAATGTAAAATCAGATGAGATTTTGGGACTTTGGAGGACAATGAAGTCATAATGGTAGACTGATGTGGAAATTTATCAAATAAAAGTTGGCATAATTTATCCACAGATATTTTTCTGCTGGTTTTCTTCTCTAAATTTCTGTCAAGTTATTCTGTTGGACATTAGTACAGATTTATTATTTTGCATTGCTTTTTGAGAAAACATACTTTTTCAAAAGTTTTAGAATTACCAACCTATAATTAACACTCTATACCTTAAATTTCTCATTTTTGACCAATTTGGCCTGTGGAAACATACATTTTCTTGAATTTTCCAGTTTTAAGAACTATTATTTACCCTTCCTCAATATAATGGTATATTCATATCTTTTTTTTCTTGAAGAATTCAAACACTGAAGAAACCTACACTACATCATATTGGTTTCTCTCCAATTATATTTTAGGAAAAAATATGTCATGCATAAATCAAATTAAATTATGATGATAGAAAAAACTGGAACAAAAACTTTGTGTACACATTTTTGTTTTATGTAGAAGTGCAAATGACACTAAATTTATACTGTTTAATTCTGTTTATATACCCAACCTACCTTACCAATTACAAAAACAGATAGGAAGGTGAATATATTTTTCTTACCATTGGTTATAATCTGCTGTAGGAAAATATGAATAATTTGGAATGCCAGAAGAAATGTCTTAGATTCCATGCTGGAGTCTTCTTGGCTGATGTCCTACGAATGAAAACTATATCTTCTCAAGCACAAAATACCTCAAATTAAAAATTTACATAACTTCAAGCTGTTGGTGTGTGCCATATGCATTAAAACAAGCAATTGGAAATAAATTTACCAAAGGGCATGTGACAGTCAAAGGCGTATTGGCTATTTAGAATACTAATTACTTTGTATCTAGCAGGCTGTTTAAATTGTATATATTAATGAAATATTTTTTTATTTACATTTTCTCCTAAAAAGGATCTTTGATATTTGGGATATCATTAATGTTCAAACATTTAAGATGTTATTTGTTGATTTTTACATGCTTGCCTTATCTTTCTTTATAAAATTAAAGAAAAAAAGAAAAGCTAATTCAATGCATTTAGGATATTCAGACAAAAAAAAAACAGCATTTTATACTGTATCATATATAGAATTCTCATTTAAAATTGAGCTAGAGACAGTGCAGATAAATTAGTTATAAAGTTGCTTGGTCATTGTCTCTTTGAGTTTCAGCAACTGTCATCTAAGTTGTAAATGACTTTGCATGTCTCAGGTAATTTAGTTCTGTGTGTACTGAAGAAAAAAAAAACGATTGCAGAGGTATTTTCACACAAAGCATTTCATCCGTTGGTTGCTTTTGTCAAATCAAAGAATGATGTGTTCACCTCATGCAGTGTACTTGACTCAACGTGATAGCTTTTGTAAGACTTCATCTGATAGGCCTGTCCTGAATGAGTTACTTTTGACAACTGATAGAAGGCGGTGCCCTTTCTGATAACCGCACTTTTGTCCTAATAATTGAAATATGTCTCAAACAAGTTATATAATTTGAGAAGCTGTGGAATTGGCTAAACACTCAGCATATGAATTGTCCTTGTTTCAAGTGGGGGCATAGTAAATTTGAAAAAAATATATGGGAATTTACAGATTTTATTTACTATGTATACCCTCATTATAGGCTATGCACCTCTTATGTACATAAGTAAACAGAAAACACAAGTATTGGCTTTACAAGCTTATAATATTTCCCTATATCTATTTGCAGTTGATAGGTTGAAAAATTATTTTCATTGTTTTGATGCCAGGAATAAACAGTTTTTGGCATTAATTTCCTGACGTATTTATGTATTGTCATTTCTATGCATGGTGTCTTCAGTATTTGTCTACTGCTGCCAAGGGATTTTATAAATATTCTTTTAAATTTTGAAATTTTGTTTGATAAAACATTTTTTTCAGCATTTCAACTGAATTTACATGTTTGAACATTCAGGCCTGGTAAGAAATTCATTTGGCACAAGTGGACAATATATATATTTTTCTTTCTGTATGTTCTAACATTGTGATCAAGCCTTACCTTAGCTTCTCTAACACAGTTAACCCCGGTAAACTAAATTTTATCAGTCTTCTCAAACACAGGTCTCCAGTGACACAACGAATTCTGTGTGGAATTTTTAATGTTGTTTTGGCGTGGTGTATATTGATGATTATTAAGTCACCAGTGATTATGATTATTAAGTTATTGTTTTTTTTTTTGTTGAAATTTGCCAGAATATTCTATGTGGCATAAATGCAGGTCAAATCCTGATAGTGTAGGGAGTCTTGCTTTGATAGATTTTATAGAAATGACATGCATTTGTGTGGCAATTTTAATTTAATTTTGATTTTAATTTAAAACTTGATGTTAAAACTCTGAAAAAGTGAAGCATAATACACATTATCTGAATTATATGACAAATGTAAGGTACCAGTCATTGTAATTCACTGAATTGAACAGGCTAACCCCTATTGAGCATGCAAAGTACATTTGACTCTTTGTTTTAGATAGGTCCTTTATGGTGTTGAGGTTAAATTTGGAAACAGAATGTCCTTATAACCAACACCCTAAACTTAAACCCCCTTCACTCTGATTCTTTCCCCATTTAGTGTCTATCATCGCAAATAATGAGTTTTTTTCTCAAGAAAAGTCAGCAGTTTAGGTGACATGCATGCTATTGACGGTGATGATTTTTAATATATTTGCCTTGATCTGTGACCTGTGTGGCACATTTGATACTTTTTGGGCTTAATGGTTTTCAGAAAATGTAATGTCCTTAGGTTGTTTTATTTTCTGATAGATTAAATATGTACATATCTGTCTTTTTAATGATGGTTATTTACTTTTTGTAATGCCAACTGGATGATGAAAGGCTTTCAATTTTCATTGTAGGGTTTGGTCATTTATAACATAATAATTAATATAGATAACTAAATAGCTTTATTCATAGTTCACTTTAGCTGACATAATAATAAGCTGCAACATGGAACTGATGTATATACAACTGCTCAAGCAGGACAAAATATAATACATTGAATATAATGGTTTTTCAAGACAATAAGTTCATTTAATATATTAACTCTGGTACATTACAAAATAGCTGTGGCATGATTTTTCTTAAAAAAATAATAAAGCAACATTTTATAAATACTACTTTCACCTTGTAACTAAAACTTTTTTATTTATTCCCTTGATTTTTTTATTATTTTTTTCACTGCCATTAATCTCAGTTAAGGTATATTGATTTGTTATATCCTGTAAAGATTGCTGGTACTGCAACTAACATTTAAGTAAATATATAAAAGGAATTAAAGAAAACTATGGCTTACTTTGATAAAACCAGACTTACAAACTTCATACAGCACTATACTTCTAGTTAGTACTATGGCATCTGGGTTGCTATGTTTACTTTGGAAGTATGCAAGCTCTTTGATAATATATTAGCAATAAATACAATATACATCATTAATTAGTGTAAATACTACTTCATCTTCCCCACATTTGAATGGGTTTGAAAGAAACATGATTTTTTGCTTAGATACATTGGTATATTTGGTGACTATTTGAAGTCACTTTTCTTTTTTTCCAATTGTAAATTCATAAAATAAATAAATAACTTAGTTGAATATGATGAAATAATTTACACATTAAAAAGAAACTACACTGATTGCCTTGCAATTCTTCTTGCACAATGCTAAGCTTTTTGTAATGTACAAAGAAGGATAAATAATGTACAGCTATTTATATACATAGTAGGTATTGCACACAAGGTCTGCATTGTTTTAGAGGTTCTAAAAAGCACCTCTAGCACAAGCACTTCACTGATTTTGTCACATTTACCATACACATCTGCCACCTTCATCACGTTATAGCAAAAAAAAAAAAAAAATTATTTCAAACATGGCTAAGTAGCTGCCCAATTAAAAAGTTTACCACTTATTCAAGATCATTTACCATACTTAAATATCACTGCTGCTGCCATTTTATCTTTTGTCAGAATGTAAAAAATATACTTACAACATATCAAGTTTGAAAATTGATACAGTTTGCATATATGAACCTTAAAAGTATTTGAATGTATAGTCATGCATGATTTGTCTAACATTTACCAATATAGGCTACAGTGAAAAGCTTTTAGCCAAATTCACATTTACTTAAGTAAAAATTTAAAATACATAGAGTTGAATACAATTAGAGAAATTTCTAAAGATTAAATGTGATATTAAAGAACAGTTTTAAAAAGCAGATCATACTCTTGATGTAACAGTGCATTCAGAAACTGCAAGTTGAAGAAATCTGGTGTATTTTTTTCTATTACAAATAACCTACATTTTATACTTCAGTTTAGAGTCCCTTCTTATTTTGATATCCCACTGTCCTCCATCCTGTTGTGACCTTACATTTGGCCACTATTCACCAGATGGCAGCACCATCCGTGTCGGTTGCTTTTTGTCTACTGACCAGCAGATAGAGCTCACGCACGCACACATACGTTGACCTGTGGGCAGCCTTCAGGTCAGTGTGTTCAGTTTGTTGTGATTACTTCTGGACTCGTACCAAGTGTTGGAGTTGTCTTCAATTATTGTTGAAGAGGAATGTGATGGACTGAGGACGTTTGTTGAAGTATATTTAGGTGTCCGTTCTCGATATCTGAAATCATTTTAGAGGCACAAAATACAGACTGGAGCACAGAATGTGATTAAGTCCATGCATACATTTTGGGATTTTAAAGTACAAAAATAGTTAAGAATGAATTATACAAACATATAATTACCACAAATAGGAATGTCATTCTGCATTACTTATAAAAGTGTACTAAAGTTAAGTACAACATTTTTTCTTTGGTGATAATACTTTCTTAATACTAAAATAAGGCAAGGCTACACATTTTTAGTTACATGTAAAAATGGCAGTATAGCTTAATTAGTCTGCCTTCAGTTTCATGCCCTGCAGACAGTATTTTGTTCTTAAAATATAAAATCCTGCTGACTTCATGATATAATGATCTACGGCCATCTGTGACAGACATGAATGGCAGCACCTGCCTTATCAAAAACCTTTGTCACATACACAGTTAAACAATCCCGGAGAACAATTATGCATGCATCAGTGTCGGCCGTAACAAGCTGCTGGTTTTATATAAAAAAAGGCAGCTGTCCCAAAGGGGCAGTATGTAGCATGAAGATGATTCAAGAGGATTGGAAGACTAAAGATAAAACCATATTTTGCCTCACAATGGTGACTGGGTCATAATTTAAGTGAAAAAGGGCCGCTATTTAATACTTATATAATCAGTTGAAAATACTGGGTTGAAAAATACTTCTGATCATCAACACTCAGTTGTGTTGAGAAAAAATTCAAATAAGGAAAAATAATTTTTTTGCTCTTCATTGAAATACTGCTTTGGCTTATTTCGTACTTATAACTGCCAATAATTTGACTGGCAAATACTGTTTTAGGCAAAGTTTTGTGTGGCACTTATACATACTGTTTGTAGTAGGAATACAACCAATCTTTTTTTTCAGTCAGATTGCAGAAGATGAACTTCTTTAAGGAACACTTTTTTTTGCAGAGCATATTTGTTAGGTCAAAAGACCATGCTTTCATGTAAACATTTTTGGCTCATTGCATATACTCTTGGAATGCAGATCATTATTGATAAATTGTATTTTTTTTTTCAATCTAAGTCGATGTCAGGTACATCCTTTCCCATAGTTTCAAACATTTTTGCAGTCTCTTTCAGAGTGTTAAAGATACGCTTGAGGCATCTGCGAACTTTCTTCCAACTTTGCGTATACTTCCTCTGGTGGCGTTTGCTGAGTAGGCCTGCATAAAACACGAGATAAAATGGAAGGTGATGGTGGTTTTAGACATTTCAGTCTAGATAGGCGGGAAGGAGGGGAGGGCAGACTGACATGCAAGCAATTCCCAGATGCCACAAAGCATCTTCCCCATAACGATAACATGCACTGCAGTTACAGAAACTCATAAAACATAAAAAGTAAAATGAAAAAATGGCTATACCTTTTTATTATGAGAAGAATGACTAGGACAGCCAATATTAACAACAGGCTCCCAAGGACGCCTCCGATGATTGCAGCTGAAAGGAAAGCAAGACAATGCAAAGATATTGCTTCATCTCTTCTATATAGCTTTGAATGTGTATTGTGTAGTTTGTTCCTTTGGGAAGGAGTTGCCAAAGATTATTTCTTGTTGCAGCCATGTTCATAAATACCTTTGACAATCTCATTTTAGGCATGCTTGTTTTATATTGTGTTCTAATTAAAAAGCAGTTTCTGATTGAAGTCAAATAAAAAGATAGCATCGGAGTTAACAAATGCAAACAAATGGCCGAAGTCTAAAAACAGCATAATTAAACCTTTACTGTAAGAGGTGAAGCTAAATTTGACCTTCATTGACCCCTCACGTAAAGAAGTCATTTTAGTCACTAATGCTCATTTGGTGCATTACATTCAGGTTTAATTTCTCAAAGTTATTCAAAGACCCACCCAAAAAAGTAGCTCATTTGATTTCTTTGCAAGCTGCTCATATTTTTCAAAACACCAAATGAATACATTATTTCATTTTTTTCTGTCATCTAATTTCACATCAGTGGATGATTTTCAGATACATGTTTTATGGTGAAATTCTTATAGGTGTCTTTTTTAAAAACTTTTTGTTTATTGCAAAGCGTAACTAATAAGCAGCATTACTAATATTCTACAGCAAGCCCATGATTGCAGATACTCTGGTAAGCTTGGCACATGTACAACTGAGAAGCTGGACAACATGGCAGACATCATGCAAAGTGGGTTAAAAAATATTTCTTACTTAATTTTTTCTATTAATTTTTTAAAACCAAATTTAATTGGTTTTCTTTACATAAAATATATATAAGTGACGTAATTAAAGTATTGCAAATCTAGCTAATTTACTGTGCAGGTTATAGAAGATCACATCTAGGCAGGAGAGGAGTCTTGATGGCGTATTCTTACCTGCAGGGATGGTTGCTTCTTCTTGCTGCATTAGGAATTTTTGGCTGTGCTTGAGCTCTGTCGTGGCAAAAGATGGCAGGAGTGATGATAGAAGTTTGGAGTTGGTGGTCGGCTTGACAGATACTTTCATCTGATTTCGCGATGTACTGGTCAGGATGACATCATTCTTGGGGTTCGGTCTTGCGCTTGGTGGCATCCTTGTGGTGGGAATAGAGGTTGGGTTCTGTGTTGTTTCCATGGGAGGAAAAGCTGCAAAAAATGCAATTAAGTTGTTATGGTGCCTGAATATTTTATTTTCAGAAATCAAGAAGAATATATTGTGTTTTTTTAAATTCATAATATGCACCTGAATGTAATCGAAACATTATCAAACAACCTGCCCGTGAGATTGGGTAAGAATTAATCCTAATATATTTGACCAGTTCCCAGAAAAGTCTAAGTATTGACATAATGGATTAAAGAGCCTGATAAATCCCCAAGTTCCATACCTTCAAAGTACAACCACAACCCCTTCCTTCGACCATTATTGACTCCACTTTTGAACCTGAGAATGAGCTCATTGGCCATGGTGGTGAAGATCAGGTCATTCTGTCTGCTGCCACAGAGAGTAGAACCACGCAGATTGTCGTGGATGTAAAGCGTATCCTCACAATCGCTGCCATTGGCATCTTGGATGTGGAGGTCCAGAGCCAGAAGTTTTATTTTCTGACCCGGATTCACAATGATATGGAGCTCACAGTCCTTGTTGCTAGGGTAGTTGCTAGGGTAACGTGGGCTATGGATGTAGCCATTCTGGGTGAAAAGTTTGTCCTTATGCTCGTCACATATGTCAACGCTCCAGTCCACTACAATGAACAAATTGATCAAATTATGCCTAATGCTCAGTTCTGTTATCACAAATGAACTATGGTTCTGTAATGTACTGCTTACATTATATTTTATTATAAATTATAACTGTGTAAATGATGTGTTGTTAATTTATAGAATTAAATGGCAATGTTGGAAAAACTCTTAACAAACAAAAAATAGTCCCCCCCCTCCCCCCCCAAAAAAAAACAAAAAAAAAAAAAACAAAAACAAAACCTTCACTCATCAGCAAGTAGGCCCGCCTTTCAACAGTAAAGAACACCATGAATGAACTTTTTTTTACCTGGTATACACTCATATTCAACCTGGATGTAGTTGCTATATTGCTTGCAGTGGGGGATGTAGCGCCCATAGTCCCCAGATGGCAGGTTGATACCACAGNCCCCCCCCCCCCCCCAAAAAAAAAAAAAACCTTCACTCATCAGCAAGTAGGCCCACCTTTCAACAGTAAAGAACACCATGAATGAACTTTTTTTACCTGGTATACACTCATATTCAACCTGGATGTAGTTGCTATATTGCTTGCAGTGGGGGATGTAGCGCCCATAGTCCCCAGATGGCAGGTTGATACCACAGTGTGACTGGCCGACACAGGAATAAGGCGTGTCTTCAGTTACATGACAGTCACCTTCAGTGTAGTTACATTTTCCACTGGCACTGAGGCCGTAAATGATCTTGTTGATGCGTATCATGGATCCAATGCTGCACGTCAGGTTGAGAATATTGCTGGGATGGGCAAAACAGATGCTGGCATTTCTGGGTTCAGCTGAGGAAAACAAAAACAGTAATATATTAGGAGAAATGAAAACAACCCAGAGCAGCTGAAGGAGATTTTGAGGGATACAGTACATCTACAATGTTGAAACTTTCTGTTTTTATTATAAAATTTTAAAAAATGAAAATGATAATGTTGAATTATTTTTGTGAAAGGACAACCAAAGTCAAGGCAATGAATTCAAGAAAGTTTAGAGCATCGCAGTCACTTGCAATATATTTCTGATGTTCCAGATAAAGTGTTTACTCCATATGGCCTGCATACATGACTGTGATAAACAACATTATAATAAGGCTTGACAACTGGTGCTCATATATGTAGCTAAGATCATTCTTTAATAGCTTAACTGTGTTAAAGTTTGTAGTTTTCAGTTAAGATCATTTGATAAAAAAAGAAAAAACTTCTACGTCTCCTCTGTGGTCCTATGTTCTACTTAGCACAAGATGGGGTGGTCAAGGTTGATAGGGGGAATTGATTTTGCCCTAGTATCTACTTCCCCTGTGCTTCCTCCAATTAGGCCTGAAACCTTGTTTAATGCTGGGACCCATGTAAAACTGTTAAGAGAAAGGGGCTGCAGGGTGATCTCCAGTCATTCAGCTGTTTTTACACTAGACCTGAATGTGGATGTGTAGCATGAATCTCATGCTGGAGAGATAAGATGAGTGACCTTCTGCAGATAGTAAGTGACCCGAGTAGAGTAAAAGTACCAAACACCAGCACGAGACCAACAATTTCTCATAGGTCAGAGGTATAATGGTGAGGTGCAGAGAAAACGATAAACCAATAAACAAAAAGATAATTAGAAATAAAAATGTTTTTAAATAGTTGTAAAAATTCATTGAAAATAATGTTACTCAGACTTGCGTAAGAGTTAAGTAGGCATGATTTAAGATTGCAGGTTGATTACCTGGTAAGTATAGCATTGAAAGAGCTTAAACTTCCTTATTTGAAATCAGTTTACAAGAACAATGAGCATGCATTGTTTGGACTGATTATTCATTTTGTATTGAACACATCTTTTTTCACTCATTGATTGGTGTTCACTCAGTCAATGTCTTAAACTGAAAGTAATTTCAGACAAGAACCTGGTCAATAATTGCTTAAATATTGGTGTATTACTACTGATAAAAAGCCGTGATTGCTATTTTTCTGTAGTGCACTGACTAAGCCTTCTTAACAATTTTTTTTTTTTTTTGTAATAATGGATGTGAAACTCTTTCTCTCTAAAAAGATAGCGATATGTAAAGAATATTTTTTTACTATTCTTCCTTTGGTTATTTAATAAATGGCATTTTTAATGTTTATATTGCAAAAAGGCATCAAAAAATTTTTAGTCTTCCTTGATACTTGCTAAAACAATAATATTGCTACCTTGAAATAATAACTTATCAAATAACTGTTTAAAACCCCACTTTTAGGTCCATAAACATGAGATATTCTTGAAAATATGACAGACCACATACCTAGCGATATCCCTATCTTGGCACATAAACAATATTACTATCAATTCAGATTTGCCACAACAATGAAATAACACACCAAAATAACACCAGCATAAGATAAGCTTACAAATAAGTACAGGCAGAGAGAGATAAACTTACAGGGCTCACTCAGTGCAGTGTATTAGTCTTATAGCGTCTTATATTTTTAAAACCAGAGAGAAGAGTCAGTGCTAATCCACATACACATACAACAGCTGTTAGCTCTACTACTACCAGTGATGCCAATGCACAGATATAAATTACTCTGTTACTCACCCATCGTTTCCTTGTATCCAGTAATGCACATCACCATGACTGCGAATGCAGTTTGAAGGCTCTGCAAGTTTTTCATTTTGAATGTAGACCGATGTTTTGTTTTTCCCTTAAGTTCTTCAATTCACTCACTTCACCAGCACATCGATGACAATATGGTGCCTGTAAAGGAAATTACAACCATTTAAATAGAAACTCCACTGGAAACAGCTTGGAGAGCCATGATTTGTGGGCAACATTTACGATCTTCTCTGATTTTCTTGGTTCATACCCCTTGACCTATAGTGGCTTTTTTAGGCCATCATAAACTTACCGCTGGTGCTGGAAAAATATTTTTGCACCTGTAGCGTCAGTATGCCATGCAAGCCTGTATGGTTTCCAGGGCTCTAATCTGCTAGTCAGAGTAACCTATAAACTAAACTGAAATGAAATAAAAATTGGCGGCACATGGTGCAGGGTCTTTTCTTTCTTTCTGGGTTGTCAGCTGGGTTGCCGGGTTCACCTGCCTCTTTTTTTAAAAAAACTACCTCTGAGCTAGAACATGTTTTCTACCTGTCAGTCAGTAGATTACTACGAGGCTGTTGCACACAGGTAATCTAGATGTGCTGCACTAATGATGTCAGCACTGTAGTACTTGGAATTCGTTAATGAAATGCTATAGTTAAAGAGAGGATCAAGCAGTCTTTGCTTTTGTATATTTTGTACTGGAATTGTTCTCAATCTTTATAATCGTAATTTTTTCCCCAGAATTTTCTCAAAGTATAAATACTTAAATGAAATAAAGTGTTTTTAATGTTCTTTTCACATTGCAAAAAAATCATTTTTAAGGCAATCAAGGGGCTAGTTCCGTGAAATATTTCCTCTTACCTGCTAGCTGTTGGTTCTATGTGTCCCCTTGTGCGATTGGTTTATAAGTACTACACCAGTGTTAATTACCGAATGAAGTGAATTGTTAGAGGCCATACAAAGCCATGCAGTCCTCTCACTTAACAACAGTACAGTGAAAGTGAAAAGATTCATTAATTTCCCTAGCCTTCATTGTGTTCTGGCCTCTAGTTGTAAAGTAGGAAGTTGAGATGAAACCTAATCTATTTTATTGATTTCCCTACAAATGTCTGCTGTATGCAGCCATGTATTAAAGCTTGCGTAGTTTAATAGTAATCTTCTACTCTGCAGAATATTTATTGATGGAACTCATAAGATTACAGGCTTCCGGGATAAGATTATGCAATGGTTAATTCAATAAATTAGCATAACTTTCCTTTGACTCAGCTTATGAAGCTTTCTTCTCATTAGACTAATCTCATTGTTTCTAAGTACATCTGTTATCTTAAAAAGAAAGAAGCCCTGCCAACAAAAGGCTGAGATAATACCAATGGGTAGAAGATCCATGTGTATGGCAGTCTCTAGTTATACTCTGGGTATTGGAACAGATGCTACTTTTAACTTGTTTTATCCCCCCACCTGACACTACTCTCATGAAAATAATCTAAGGCATTAAGCAGGAATGATATTGATAATATGTGTAGCACCAAATATCCAGTGGATGAAATACTTTTGATAGCTGACTCAGATTAAAAGGGGGTTTAGATAAAACAGGGGTATCATCGACAGAGAAGCATTGTTTTTGAGGCAGTGGCACTGCATGAAAATTCAATCAGATAGGACAGTTTCTACCACTAGTCTGGAGTCATCCTCTACATGACCCCTGTAAACTGTCAGTTTTTCGTTGAAACCCACAGCAGTCAGTGGCACACTTTGCCTCCCTCAAGGGAGGCACACTTTTCTCCCCTCACAAAATATTTAATTGCTGTCCAGCTGTGGTAAGCCCCTTGCCACATTCTGTTGATTCCCTACAGTGGCAACAGAGTGCAATAAACCTTGGCATAGGTGAGGTGGAACTTTAATTGAAAATTTCTGTTGGTTCTTTTTTTTTATGGCACTTCCAACTCCATTTAGATAAACAAACTTTGATCACATTGTAACATTATGGAAGACTCTTGAAAATAAGTCACAGGATACACTTTATCCTTTATGGTTTGTAAAGAATTTGATAGGCGTCTTGTTGCCTCATCTAAAATCAGTCTCCAGTAATAAGACTTCTTTTTTTTAAAGAAAATAACATGTTGAATATTAACCAGAGTTTTTACTTAGTAATCAATGTACAGACCTTACTTCCTTTAGGTTATCTTTCTCCTAAATTGAAGAAAATAGATAAATGCTGTTCCTCCATTCTGAAGCCCTGTTCTCATCAGATCTAAGTAAACCATTTTAGGTCTAACTTTAAGAGAATGAAACTTGATTACAATCACCCTTTTCAGATTTGTCTTGAACACTGTGATTTTACAACTCAAGTCAGGAAGTACAGGGGGTAGGGTGGAGGGGGGTAGGTTAAACACCAGAGTAGTCCAATCGCACTGATTATAGACCTAAAAATGTTCTCCTTAAAACTGAAGTGAACAAGTCCCCATTTAACCTCCCTCCTAGCTCACTTAATATATACACTGGTTCTAAAAGTCAAAAGGCATACCTGCAGAGGGTGCACACGCCGGCAGTTAAATCCAAATAATTTGTTGGTTTTATGGTTAAGTCCCCACAAGCTCCTCATTCAAAGAAGGTGTCACCTGCACGTGCCTGAGAGTTCCAACTGACAGCCGGCACACGACTGTGATTGCTTTTATATACTGTGGATGCCGGCTCTTATTAATCTAATACAACAGAACAACCACAGGTTATCAAAGGCCGGTGTGCCGCGCTGTCATTAAGTCTGTGGCCGACACTTTAAGTATCAGTGCTGCCTGCCTCTGCTCTGTTAACACAATAGAAGCAACCATCTGAATAATTAGGCACGTGTGGAGGGCTCACTTTGACAAGCGGCACACTTCAAGCATTAAAGGGGGAGGTGCCCTCCCTCTTAAATAGGATAATTTAGGAAGTTTCATCCCAGAGATAATCATGATTTATTATACATGCGGGTCTTAGGATATGCAGAAGTCAGTAAACTGCCCCTTTGAAACTGATACTGCTGGTCTGTGTTTATTTCAAATTATAAACAATAACAATGTCATCTGTATTCATCCTCAGCCTATCTTTCAGGCTTTTAGGTGTATTTACAATCTAGTTGTGGCATCTTAACTAAGCAATGTACTTTTGCCACATAAACAGTCAGCAAAGATAGTATGGTGCTCAGTTGAATTGCAACTACTGGACTGTATGTGTATTTAGAATAAACTTAAGGAAATAAATTTTGACCTTTTGTGTTTTTTTTTTCATGCAAAATAAGAACTTGTGACTGATCATGAAAAGAAAGTTTGAAAAGATGCAGAAAAATGTAGGAAAAGGCAGTTACAGAGAAGGTTATGAGAGGGGAAGGCCTCTCTCTCTTTTATTACCATTTTACTGTTCTTATCTCAGAACATATGGTCAAGGGACTTGTGCTCTTAATTTACCCATTGTGTGCAGTAGCGACTAGGGAAAACAACAGATTGTACATTTGTTGACATCATCCAATATTTATTTAAGAAAATGCAATGAAGAAACGTTGAATGATGTGCAAGGCATGAGTGTATGTGTGTGTACCACATGCATTTGTGTGGATGAGTCTATCTGAAATTCATTTAAGGGTTGCTGTCAGGTGTTTTGCTAGAAAATGAAGGCCTGAATATTAATATATAGGTGTATTTCATGACGGAGAGCTTCAGAAACAAAAGGGACAGACCACTAGAATGGAGTGATGGAAATCAAGTCACCTGGACCTTGCAGATGGTGTTCAGGAGACTAAGAGATAGATATTCACTAATTAATACCCTGGCATCTTTTGAAGTAGGTGAAATCGCTACCAATAAAAAAGCCCCAGTAATTTCACAATGACTGAACTAAAACTGTCATCTGGCCAGGGAGGCTTAATAACTGTCACCTGCTGTAGGGCAGCTTCAAAGCACCAGGACTCTAATTATCTCATAGCCACAGACTACAGCAGGTGGGGGTAGCAATTAGCTAAAAGCTATACACTGTCAGGGCCTTGTTGAAAACAACAGCTGCCTGAGACAGGAGTAAGCTGGCAAAGTATTGATTTATACAGGGTTGTGGCTGGTTAGCTTAGCTTTAAGGAACCTGGATATAGTGGAACTCCCAACTGAGTTACCTGGAAAACCACAGATGTCAAGCTACAGCAGAGGAGACTGCTAATTGTTGGTAGACAGGTCTGGTAGGATCAAAGGGAAGATGTAGAGATGTTGAAAAAATGAGGTGCCACAATAGATCAAAGAAGTGCCTAACAATGGTCCTGATGACATCAAAGAGGTAGAACCAGTGATGAGGCAGAGGAGCAGGAGATGTATGGGGACAGATGACACTGGTTTCATGCCTTGTGATGAAACAATAGCCTGTTTCACAATGGAACTTTTAACATAGAAAGTTGGGATAAGCTTTTCAACCAAAACTTGAGTCTACTTTGACATAAGATAAGCCGAAAGCAGTCTGATTAAATCAAGAATTGCACCTGTTTTATTACAAGAGAAAAAAGTCTATTATTTTAGAGCAGTAGTAACTGCCTCTTAATGAACTTCTGTTGATTTTCCAAAACTGAACTATTTTAATTTTTTGATTTGTTATCTGAGACAAAATTTTTGTTGAAATTTGTTTTTGTGAAATAGGCCCCAGAACATGAGTTAGGGTGTGTCATACTGTGTAGTTTACTAAACCCTGGATGCAAACACTTGATTGCACCCTACCTAGGCAATACCTCAGTAAAGTGGTCAGCATAGACAGGCTAGCTGGTTAATGGGGGGACCAAAAAGATTCTAACCTGATCCAGATATGTTACTATCGTTATTCACAGTGAAACTATTTACTTTTAAGAGTTAGGACTATTTTAGTTAGAACAGTCTAAATGGCTTTTTAAAAAAAAATGACAGTGTAGAGATATAGATATAAATGCTTGTTCAGGCCTGTAACAAGAATTTCAAAGGGGGGAAAGTCTTTTCCTTTAAAAAATTAGGCAATTTTACTGTGAAACGTGTCATGTTAGAAAAAAAACTTGATCAAAGGTTCAGAGCCCATCTTCCAGCCAAAAAGGAGGGGTGGGGTGGGGAGAGGGAGGCAGTTAACCCCCCCCCCTACCCCCGGCCTATGTGCCTGATGTTTGATTTTGAACAGATGGATGTTGCTTACTGTAAGAGATATATATTATGGATCCTCTTCCATCATGGCCAATGCAGTTGCTGAGAACTAAAATGAATAGGCAAAATACTTTTGATTAAAGCAGATTTTTTATCACATAAGTCACTTCATGCAAACGGCAAGTGCACTGCCTAGAGGAGTAAAAAGGGGCAGTTAGTCACAGTGGGACCAGCTGATTAAACTCACCTGAGTTCAATGTTGTTTATACGTGAGTTCATTCATGCTTCTGCTCACATATTTTTTGTGCCCCTGTATCCCTATATTGGCAAATTAAAGCTGCAATTTCCCTGTTAAGTTGATGATCAATCTTATTATTGGTATAGTAGCTCTTGAAATGATTGCTTTCCTGATACCTATGATGTCTTGAAAGGGAGCCAGTTACAAGATAGATATATTTAGCATCTGCTTGCCTGTAGAAATACCAAAGTAATAGCTTGGCCAGTAGTTTAAAAGCCTGTCAATAAAAAAAGGACTGGTAAATTTCCTGAGTTTGCTTTCCAGTCATGAGGAAAGAAATAACAATTTTTAGATTGAATACTCTCTGTCTGTTCTTGCTATTATAATTACATAACAAAGAGAGCAACAATCATGTTGTTGAAACCTCTAAATTTCATCTCCGGTTTTCTCTGCCACCCCCCCCCAATAAATACCATCACTTCATTGTCCAATAAAAAGCCTTACAGATGAAATCTCATAAATTCCAGAACTCTTTTCATCAGACTGCTCTCTGATTGGCAGTTTGGTAATGGGGGAAGTGTGCCAGGCACGGGCCAGCTGTCATGATACCTCAGCAGTGGCAATGGCCTGATGGGGAACATTATCGGCACATGTCTGTTGCCCAATCCAATTATTGCTGCTCCATTTGGCCAGTTAGGGCTGATTTAATTTGTGTACACCGTTACACACAATAATGACTGAAACTGGCAGCATGCCAGATACATGTTAATGTTAATCCCCTTAACTAAAGCAGCACCCCACACATTTTATGTGCAACTGTCAGTGTTAGCTAGTTTGTCAGATTCAGT